TAGTTAAAGGTAACCCCCCCAAAATGGAACTACAATGGAGACTGTATGCCCTAATCCCTGAATCCTAAAACCGTAAACCCTGAACCCTACAAGCCTAAACCCTAAACCCCTAAAGCCCTAAAACCTTAAAACGCTAGCGCCCTAAACCCTAAACACTAAAGATTAGCTCAGAAGTTCCTGGAAGGTGCGTCTGCTTCGAGCTGCTGCTGCTGGCTCATTGGCTCCTGAGCTTCTGGCCGCCTGGGGTCGCTTGGTCCTTGCGCAGCGGGTTTAGGCTCTAGGGTTTAAGTATTGGGGTTTAGGGTTTAGGTTTCAGGGTTTAGGGTTTAAGTATTGGGGTTTAGGGTTTAGGTTTCAGGGTTTAGGGTTTAAGTATTGGGGTTTAGGGTTTAGGTTTCAGGGTTTAGGGTTTATGGGTTTAGGGTTTGGGGATGTCGAGGCCTCCATAATGGCCAATACTATTCTGGGCGTTCCTTATAGTTTAGGGGCTTCAGAGGCTTTAGGGTTTAGGTACCAATACCATGTTATTTTTTTGGGGGGTTACAGTTATTGTATTGTAGAATCTATACGAAACCCCTATTCGAAGTCCCCTATATTTGCAGTCGTGGTGGAGTGCAGAGGATGACCATAACCGACAACACTGACGATGTCATGGATGACAATGTGTGTCTGCGACGCGTCGGGCAGCCGCTCAGGAATTACGTGCACTGTTGCCCCGACACTCTTGGCTCGTAACCTTCAAAAACGTTCCCTCTCTCGAACCGAAGGACACTCAAGCAGACGTGCATGGAATTGTACTTGTATGCCTTATGTATGTCTGCAGAAGAAGAAATCTGCATAAAGAAGCGCCATCCTGCTGCAGAAGGTGCTGCCGCCGGCGAGGCGGCAGAACGTTGGTTACTGGAGGCACAGATGCTCAGCAGCTCAGGGTTTGGCTGATACAAGTACGGGTTCCTTTAAAGCTCTAAGTGTTCCTCTAAGTGTTCCTACATTCTTGTACAGGTTACCTAATGTCGCTCTGTAAGAGCTCCCGGGCACTCGCAAATTCCTGCTCGCTTATACGATTTGGGTTTTAGGAGCCCTGATGTCTTATGTAGTCTTAAACTATTTTCTGAGACCTTATACTGAAATGTCTAAATGCAGGATATTGGATCCAGTTTGGTGCCGTATGATTGCAGCACCCTCCCACAGTTGAAAGTCGTGTGCCTGAATAAAAGCACACCTGGGTCGTGCCTTCAGGGCTCCTCTAAGGATCTATAGGGGTTCCTTTAAGGGCTCCTTTTAAGGCTTAAGGGATGTGTAGGGGTTCCTGTAAGGGCACACTGACCACTACCAGGTGACAAGCAACCTACCGCCCCTCAAGCACTGACCCATCAAACAAGCCAAACAGTGGTTTACGAATTATATGCAACCTAAACCCTAAATTACTAAAACACCCTTCACCTATTTCAGCCCTTGAGCAATAAGTCCATACACCCTCAACCAGCAACTCTGCAGGCCATTCCACTTGACAGCCCGCGGCACTAGAAGGGCATGCTCCAGTCTTTGGCATCCCTACTCGTGATCCTAAACCCTACACCCCAAACCATAGGAATTCCGACTGCTAGACAGGTGGAAAAGAGCCCTCAAAAAAAAAAAACCTAAACCTCTAAACCCTATACCAACCGGTGATCGGGCTTATGCCAGGGCCTGTGCTTCTGCCATGTGCCTTAAATTTCAATCCCAAAGCCCTAAGCCTGCAAACATGGCTTGTGTTTCTTTCGCGTCTCTTACAGTAGAAGCCAGAAAGTTGGAATATCATTATCGTAACCCCTTTAGGGTAAATTATAGGGGATCCTACCATTAATCCATATTCCAACTTTCTGGAGTTCCCTTTATTGGAAGGGGCGGCGACTTGAGGCCTGTACTTCCGGCTGTGCTGCAAAGCAGAGGCTCTAAACCCAAACCCTAGATGCCAAACCCTATATGGGAGTTTCCGAAAATTAGGGGTACCGTAGTTTGGGGTCCTTAGAATAAGGCTCCTTGCCATACTAGCGTCCCCTATTTTCGGAAACTCCCATATAAGCCCTAAATGGCCCTAAATCCTAAATCCTAAATTATGCACCCTACATCCTCAACTCTCCCTACATGTACAGGCCGCCTCATAGCATAAGACCCTAAACCCAAGCGTGCTCAAACCCAAGCGTGCCTCTAAACCCAAAGCCCTAAACCCTAAACCGATCTGAGAGCCTTGTCTCCCCCGAGGCATGGATCCCAACCTTATGCCCCATCACCAGACTGCCAGGCCATATTCACATGGGTGGTTGTTAAAATTAGGGTCCCTTTTGGGGTACCCTAAATATTAGGTGCCGTACTAATAGGGACCCCAAAAAGGACCATAATTTTGACAACCACCCACATAAGAACACCCTTGAAGAGATCCTCTAAGCGACTTTTATAATTCACCCTGAATCCCAAACCGTGAGCCCTGCCAATTGAAAAGGGTCTGCCCTCAATCTAAATCGAACCCCAGCAGTTGGAACATTGGTCTAGTATGATTCGTGCTGGGATGCAATATACCTAAACCCTAAACCCCAAACCCTAAACCATGCATGAGGATTATAATGTAAACCCTAAACCCGAAACCCATTATCAGTCTGATGAGGTCTCCCCTGAACCGACTCGGGATCCTGACTTCGTGCGCCACCTTTCGGGCGCTTCACAGGATAGTGAGGCCCGAATGCTTGCCCGGGCTAAAGGTTTAGGGCTGGATGGGGTTTAGGTTTCGGGTTTTCGATACCGAGGCCCGAATGCTTGTCAGGATTCTTAACAGAAACTTGCAGCATTCATACTGAGTGGAGGACGATCCGAATGTTGAGTTTTGCATTCATATCCCTGGGGCTCCAAAGTGGCCCAAAGTAGGCAATATTTATAGATTGTTAGCCCCAAAGTAGATACCATTTGTATACTTGGAGCCCTAGGGTGTCTTTACTCATCTCGACGGAATCAGTGATAACCGAGACAAAGACTCTAAATGACAACGAGAGTAGACTTGCTGGGTATAGAAGGTCTATCAGATGCAGTTAAAGCTATTACGATGAGCAGGACTTGCATGGACCATCGGCTTGGAGTTTTGGGTTATTGGTCGCACTGATCACAGCTAATTGAAAAGTGATCACCGTTGTTAGGTGATTAGCCAGATTCATGATGACATGTAGTCCCGAATTCAATCCCACAGTACTACCGGGGTCGGAGTAACGAGTACTTGTACTTTTGGGGTTTCGTAGGCTGTACTCCGAGACCTCATCTTAACTCTTAAGGCCTCTACGCAGCCCGAATCTCCCCAAAGCTGAACCCGACTCCGTCTCCTAAACCTAAACTTTCCCTAAACCCCTAAACCCTAAACCCCTAAACCTTCAACTGTAGGCCCTAAACCCTAAACTCCTAAACCCTAAACCCGGCCTGAGAACTGGAGTCAAAGTTGCAAGAGCCAGGCAGGGCCACAACACACTCGGCGGCCGGAGGAGGCAATGTAGGGTTCAGAGTTTGGGGTTTTTAGGGGTTTTAGGGCTTCAGGGTGTTCGGGGTTTAGGCTTTAGGCTTTTAGGGTTTAGGGTTTTCAAGGTTTAGGGTGTGGGGTTTCTGGGGTTCAGGGTGGGATGTGCTGCAGTCATCCGTGCCCGGACATGTGCCCCAGGTTGCTTACAGGGCAACTTGCTACATGGGTGGTTGTCAAATTATGGTCCCCTATTGGGTACCCTAAATAATAGGTGCGGTATTTTAAAAATAAGGACCCAAAAAGGGACCCAAATATCGACAACCACCCTATAGTATAGGCAGAGGTAGCCTTTTGGAGATGAACATTATGGCTACCGCCGTCATATTCAACCACTTGTCTGCGCGAAGGTCTGCCTACTGCTGCTTCTGTTACTTATCCCAAGACATCCCAACCCGTAAGGCCTCCTAGTAGAAGGGTGGCTGGGATGCACTGAAGCCGACGCCAGGCTGTGAATTTAGTGGGCAAGGCATCAAGGTCGACACCGGGAACTCGCCATACAGGAGTTGGATTTAGTAATCGTGCTCCCTTACAGCCGCTATAGTGTCATCGTGCTTTAAATCTCCGTCCCACGACGTCGTTTGTTTCGCCCATGATAGCTTCGCATTGACGGATTCCAGACAGAGGTCTCGTGGTAAATCTGCATCTTGGTTTGGTGCATCAAAGCCTTAACCTTTTGCCCTGACTCCGAGGCCTATGCCATAGCCCTATTTCGTGAGCCTTGAATCCCCTGCCCTAATTAAATCCCTAAACCGCAGGCCCTACACCCCTAAACCCACACCCACAACACACACACACACAAACACAGACACACACACACACACACACCGAGTGTTTTCCAGCGTCGCTACGCCTGTGGGCAGCACAAGAAACACGCGGCAGATCTTCGGGCTGTTTTACCGGGCGCTTGTTTGTGTTAGTTAAAGGAACCCTAAACCACTAAACCCCTAACCCCTAAAGCCCTAAACCCCTAAGCCCTTTCGAAGTTAGTTGAAGCTACATTGAAGTTCTACAACCATATTCCTTATTATGGTAACTGAAGCTATCTTCCTTAAAAAGCTTAGATCTAGCCGAGTAATCGGCTCTCATTGCGAGTCTTTCAAGCAGTAAAGTGAGATCTGCAGGTTCATAAGGCAAATGTCACATCGCAAGTACAAATTCCAAAGTATAACGAACTCAGTGAATTCTATGGCATCGCAGCACTTTTTTTAAAGGGGGACATGCTTAGCCGCCCCGTGCTGCCGCATCTTTCGCACAGGGCCCGTGTGAGGAGCCCTGTGTGGGCTCGAGCCCTGCGGGGGAAAAGGGGGTTTGTTCCGGATTGGGCTGAACTGACAAGATTCGCAACAGAGTCAGCCATGCGATAGTACTAACATCCGAAAGCAGACTCGTACCAACGAAGAAGCATACCCGGTACACCAAATCAGAAAGCAGTATAGGTCATATTGTTGCTGCAACTTGGGCCATGGCTGCGCAGCATCAGTCTTGGAAGCCTTGGGACAGCAAGTGGCTTGGCAGCCTTTAGTGCCCACTGTGGCGGGTTTATTTAGGGTTCAGGGTGAAGACCATAGGCCTGTATCAATCAACCTTCAAGCACAAGTTCTAAACCTCAAACCCCAAGCCCTAATCCTAAACCTTATGAGACCCCAAACCCTAAAATGTACAGGAGACTCGTGCGTGGCTTGCGAGCCTACTCCACCCCCGCAACCCTGGATCCTCCAGACGGCTCCTAGTTGATGATATGGGGGTTTCCGAACACTAGGGGTACCTTGATTGGGGGTCCTTATAATAAGGATCCTACTATTTAGGGTACTATATTAGGATCCCCTACTTTCGGAAACTCCCATATACATCCTGCATTACCCACAATAAGGAATATACCATAATTCCCATAGTCTAGGGTCCTTAAGGTAATGCAGGAGTTATATCATCAACCGTAGGGAACACAACTTTCTTTAGCTAGGATGCTCAGTAGTACCCTTATTCCCTTTTTGCAGTCCTAGGTTCCGTATTAAGTTACCCAATACGAAAAAGGGAGCCCATTTTATTCCTAGGTTACTGGGCATCCTAGGTAGTCCTTCATGAGCCTCATAAACAAGCCCTCGGGATGAAGGGTCCTGGGTTTAGGGTTTTAAGGTTTCGAATACCTAAACTGCTCACTCCGCAAGACCCAAGCCCTGTAAGCCTTACGCCCCTGAATCCGAATTTCCCCGTCCTGACTTACGGGCTGAGTAGGTAAGCTTTAAGCTTTTGGAGCTTATCTAAAACTTTCCCTAAGGGTCCATGTACTCATATAGTATGTACATTGGCCTTCATGTAGTCCCTATGTAGGTACTTCGGGGCTCATGTATCTCTATATGGGTACATGGACCCTTAAACCCTAAACCCTATACCCTTATAGAACCCTTATAGGAACCCTTACAGGAACCCTGTTTGGGTACATGGACCCTTAGGGGTTTAGCCTTTTTCTTTTGGGCTAGGGTCCTCAGCCCCTCAGATGAGGCTTCCAGAGAGAAACTGGAAAGTCCCGTCCACACCGCCGGAGATCATAACCTACGCGAAGGCCCAGAGGATTCCCTTTCTGTCCATGGGTTGAGGGTTTGGAGTTTAGGGGGTTTAGGGTTTGAATTTGGGGTTTCATTGACTTTAGGGTTTTCCAGGGTCAGTGTGTCTATGTTACCCATACTGAGGCCTCAGAGGCTTTCCTGAACCCTAAAGCCTCAAATCTCAACCCTAAACCCGGCATGCTTTAGATGCTCCTTCTGCTGTCCTTCTGGGCGTTCTTTTGATTTTGCGAAGTAGGTCTCACGGTCCTCTTCTGGCTTAAATAAAGGCATGGGCCTTCTGTTGAATTTAAGGGGTTGCCCTAGTACCCCTACAGGATCACTTTGCAAGGATCCCTTTCAGGGGGTAGGGCCGTGTTGAGAGTTTAGGGTTTAGGGTTTAGGGCCATTTTAGGTTTTTTTTTCGCATTGAGGGCAAAGGTTGAGGGCCTTCTTTAGGGGCCATTTTGGGATTGGGGTGTGCCGGTGCCACTTGAGTTTGCCAGGCTTGAACCTGCTCGTCTCGAGGTTCGTAAGTACGTTTCAGAAGTCGGATCGGACGTGTGCATGCTTCCTCCTTATAGCGACATCCTTGGTGGCATGCTATAGACCCTGAACCCTTCTCCCTAAATCCAAAACCTAGGCCCTAAGCTTTAAATCAAAAACAGCCTACACCCTCCTAACCACTCCCGAACAAGACCTAAACCCTCGTCAATACTGCCCCGAAAGCCTTAAGCCCTAAAGTCCAGGTCCTCGGGCCTAAACTAAATCCTAAGCCCTAAACTCTAAACCCTGGGTCGTAAGCCCCTAAACCAAAGCCCTGAACCATCAGCCCTACCTATAGTCTCCATTGTAGTTCCTTTTTTTGGTCTACCCTTTTTTAGTAAGGATCCTCAGAGGTAATCCCAAAAAGGAACTACGATGGAGACTATAGGTAAACCCTCAACTCTGAACCTAGAGAATATTGTTATTATAGTAATTATTGTTATATCTATTATTAAAATAGGTTTCAAAAAAGATTATGAAAACAGATTAAAACTGCATTCCAAATGTAGTGATTATTTGCAGAACCCTACATCTGAAACCGGCGGACCTAAGCCCGACAAGGCCCAGGATCGGAGCCGATCGAGGCCACAAAGCAACCAGGAAGGCCTGTTAGGGAAGTAATGTAGGAACCCTGATTAAGAAACCCTGGGCCTATAACCCCAAAATAGCAGGATTCATATAAAGAGCCCTAATAAAGGCCCAAGGTTTCTTAGTCAGGTTCCTACATTAGGGTTCTTTCGGCTCTAGGGCTTTGGGGGTTTAGGGTTTAGGGCTCTTTGGGTTTAGGGTTTAGGTTTCTTTGGGTTTAAGGGGTGTGGGGCTCTTTGGGCTTAGGGCTTAGGGTTAGGGATCTTTGTTCTGTCGCACTAGGGTTATAGTGAACCCAAGCAAGTTGGAACAGGGATTCAGGATGATAATTGCGCGGATTCCCTATACTTTACCTTAATGGGCATGAGGATATTGATGTTCCAACTTTCTGTCTTCTACCTTAGGATCACTAGGGTTCTGGGTTGAACGTTTAGGCTTTTGGAAATTTTGTGGCATGCTTACTTGGACATGCTCACATTCTTAGGGATTAGGGCTTTTGGCCCTAAAGTACTTTCAGCTAAATTGACAGTGAAGCTGGTCAGTTGCATTTATGTTCTGAGTGGCGCCCAGGGCAAACCAAAGCTCTGTGTTTTTTCAAAGCAGTGGTTCGAATAGATGACTACCGAGCGCATGTGAGTGCCAGCAAGGCTGCGACTGTGTGCTTCGGTTGATGATATAAATCCTGCATTACCTAAGGACCCTAAACTATGGGAATTATGATGTATTCCTTATTATGGGTCATGCAGGATTTATATCATCAACCGTTGTAGTCTGTCACCCTGCAACGACAAGTCATTACCCTTGAGGTCACCAGTCTGCAATCGGGTGCAACCCAGCACCACATGCGTTGTTGGGGGGTTCCTTATTATTATTATTGTTATTATTTTTATTCTAGTGTAAGGGGCCCCGAAACCTTATTCTAATTATTAAGGCCCTTATATTACGCCCATACAGTTGGTGCCCTCGGCAGGCCACCAAAGGCAAGTGGTGCACCTGCAAGCATCTTCGCGGGACGCTCATGCGGCCAATGCAGCTTCTTCGTTGCAACATAAACCTTCATGAAAAAGACAAACCTTTTCCTTTCTGCGTTCCGCAATATGGGGTTTCTTGAAGGTCCTTTATAAGGGTGCCGTGCTATTTTGGGACCTGAAAGGGGGCGCTAATTCCTAGTAGTAGAGTATGTAACCTTTAACCTTTTTTGGGTAGTAAAGTCCTTGTATAATCCCTATAAGAGCTTAACCTTTAGTTCCCCATGATACCCGACAAGTAGGAATTTAGAGAACTACACATATACAGCTTTTCGTTACCCCAAAAGGCCCGAAGGAAACCCCAAAGGCCCGAAAACTTACCTTTGGTTAGTAGGGAATGGAAGAATGGTAGTAATAGTAGTTATAGTTGTACCCCACTCCTCCATTCCCCACTACCCTAAACCCTACTACCCTAATCCCTACTACCCTAAACCCTACACCCCGTTCCTCCATTCCCTACTAAGCAAAGGTAAGAAACCTCAGACGGCCAGGTTCCGCAGCACGCGAGGCCGCATGTCACCCAGGCTGCGACAAGGCCAGTTCCACGACGCCAGTCATCGGCTCGGAGGGCTTGGGATGAAGGTTTAGGGTTTAGGGTTTAGGGGTTTAGGGGTTTAGGGTTTTAGGGTTTAGGGTTTAGGGGGTATAAAGGGAATTATGGTATACTTATAATTATGGGTAATGCAGGATTTATATCATCAACCGTAGGGACGTGAGGTTTAGGGTGTACTTGGAGGTTCATGGGTAGTTATAAGTGGGTTTATAAGTCCCCTAATATGGGTTATGAGTATAGTTCCCCTACTTATAACCCTACTTATAACTACCCATGAACCTCCAAATAGTGCCTTCGTGGAGTGTGCTCACCCAGGCTTCACTTCAGTGTTAAGCTGCTGTAGGGTTGAGGGTTTAAGGTTTAGGGTAAGTTGTTGTCGACATTTGCCGGCAATTCCGAGCCAGATTGTTCAGCATTATACACATATGGAGTGTTAAGAGCAGTCTACCGCGCTGACGGTCATTGGTTCTGAACCTGCGAGTGAGGGCATGCCGGCATGGTATTGCTTGAAGAAGTAGTTTCAGCTAGTTGTTGTCATAGTTGGGTAACATTTTACATGTTTAAGGGTATTTAAACCCAATAAGGAATAGACATGTACCTTATTAATCCTATCCCAACCATGAACTAGTACTGTCGAGTGTCGTGCGTCCCTGTATCAGACCGGACATCTACCCCACGACCATGCCGGGTGCCTCTTCGATTCTGGAGGTAGGTTTGAGCTGCTGCCACCAAGGTTTCGCATCGGTGCTTTTCACGTTTGCAACTTCTTATGATAAGTACGTTGCACCCACGTTGACGTCGTGACAACGATGTTGGCGGCAGTGATCATGACGATGTTGTTTGTTTTGCTGCTGGCGGTTCTCATGCTGTGAAGGAAGCTGCTGGAGGTAACACAGTCACGGTGTTGCTAGCGCTGATGATGGTGACGATTCACGACGATAGTGCAGCCATCGCGACTAATTACAAGCTGTGGTACTCATTGTTCGGACGACTACACCGTGTTGTTGTTGTGAGCGGTTTCGCTCCGCAAATGCTGCAGCTGATGCCACTACTTCTGCTGCCGCCGCCGCCGCTGCTGCTGCTGCTGCTGCTGCCACGCGCTATCGCTCGTGGTTGTGGCTGCGGTGGGAATGTTACCGCACCCGCTGTTTCCGGCACTCGTAAGTCTTGCAGGCTGCACGAGTGTTCATGTTGATATGTGTTCGGTATTCGATGCTTGTCTTCGTTCTTCGGCCATACGTGGTTCGTCAAAGTCTGTACAACCCGAGCCACAACACCAAACCCATTAATCTCGTGGATACCTGCAGCGCTTCGATTTTGTCACGCTCTGTTCCATAAAGCTACCATAACCGACATGCCGCGATTAAGGTGGCCCACAGTCAGGTGCTATAGGGGCCTGTAAATATTACGCATGTTAGACCTTGGGGCTTTTACTGTTGTAGTCTCAATATAGAAACACATCGTAAACATAGAGCTCTGAAGCCCTCAGCCCCACAACGCTTAAAGCCCTGAGCCTCCAACCATGGTGGTTTAGAAATGCCTAAACCCTGAAAGCCTTTCGCCTCCAGCCTCAGCTTTTCAGTCTTAGGATTTCCAGACAGCAGACAGCCCACATAAGATGCTGCAAGCGTAAGCGTGCTGATTTTCCCGTCGGTGGCATGTCCGAGATCTTCGTGACGCCCATTGCTTTGTTGTGTTGCTGTTGTTGTTGTTGTCTTCAAACCCCATACGCTGAACCTTTCAGTCCTTGAAGCAGTAAGATTTTCTGACAGTTTCAGTACATGATGTACATGGTTTAGGGTTCAGGATTTAAGGGTTTAGGGGTTTGAGGTTTAATTCGAGCACCCGTAATATGTGTGTGTATATATATATATATATATATATATGTATCTGTGTGTGTGTGTGTCTTACGCGGGCCCGGCATGGTAGGGTCGTGAGTGTAGATGTTGCCTTGCGCTCGCATCTTTACGTCCTTTACATCCCACGTCATGTGGATCGAATAGTCAAACATTTGCCTTTAACTGTAGCCTGACAACACCGTCTCAAAGCCTGCGAAGTGCCCAGAAAAGCCATTCTACTGCCGAGGACGCGATGCTTACGGCCGGGCGGCGACGGTGTGCCGGCGATGCGGGCTGCCTCTTCCGGATCCACGTGCGCTGCCGGGCGGATGCCAGTGTCCGACATGGAACTCTGCCTGCCCGTGGCTTGTGTTTTTGTAGTTTGGGAATTTAGGAAGGTTTATCAGGTGGCCGGGTTTCAATCCCTAAGGATCCATGTACCCATATAGAGATACATGAGCCCCGAAGTACCTATTTAGGGACTACATTAAGGCCAATGTATATACTACATGAGTACATGGACCATTAGGGCTTAGGAGTCTTGTCGGTTTTAGGATTTCGGTTCTGCGCCCCTTTCTCGGTCACAGTTGTTTGAGCGACTTAGAGCTCCAGCTCTTTCCAACTCTTGTCAGTATCCCTATAGTCTCTATTGTAGTTCCTTTTGTTGGTTTAACCAAATATATAATATGGATCCTATAAGGAACTACAATGGAGACTACAGGTAGAGTTCGTCGTGAGATTGTCACACTCCTAAGCAACATAAATACATAACAAAACATAGGGATGCGAAGCTCGGGGGTTGGCTTTTCACGACCCTTCACTGCGCCAGTCTTGAGCTTTGTTTCGGCTCTGGTTTCAGCTCGAGTTAAGCTGCCCTGGCTGAGAACACCGTACCGAGGAGGCGTCAAGACTGGCGCGATATGCACCAGCCGCCACAGACACCGCAAGCCTGGAGGTGCAGCACTTCTTGCTGGGGCTTTGTTAATGCGTCTGCTACCACCTCTTTCTTTGCTTGCTTGTGCTGCTCCTACTCCTCTCCTACCCATGCCCTTGCCTGCACCTACCCCGCCTCGTCCTCGTGCCACTACTACTACTACTACTACTACTACTACTACTACTACTACTACTGCTACTGCTACTGCTACTGCTACTGCTACTGCTACTGCTACTGCTACTGCTACTGCTACTGCTACTGCTACTGCTACTACTACTACTTCTACTACTCCTGCTGCTACTACTACTACTACGACTACGACTACTAATTACTACTACTACTACTACTACTACTACTACTACTACTACTACTACTACTACTACTACTATCACGACGACGACTACTGCCACTGCTGCTGCTCTTGCTACCGCCACTGCCGCTTTGCCGCACTGCCGGTGCTACGGCTATACCGCTGACGCTTCCGCTACCAGTACCAGTACGACTGCGACGACGACGACTGCTACTGCTACTCTGTAGGCCTTGTGAGACCCTTGTCATGTCCTTATTGGGGGGTACTAAGACCCCTAAGCTCCCTCGTGCTTACACCACTAAAGGTCCTTTATGATAGGACTGTCATGGCATGAAGACATCCATGGCATAAGTCTCAGCATTGGTATCACCCCTCCTTGCTCAAAGTCACGCACAATATAGAAGCTTGAGTAATTCGTCATACTGTTTCTTGGTTGCTTGGTTCCTGACTCTAACTACTTTGTTTTGTATACCCCCCTGTCGGAAAAGGCTGTTCCAAGTGTTGTGGCCTTTATATCTTCGCATGCAAAAACTGCATTGCACCAGTGTAAAGTCCGTAATTCCATGAGACTCTGGGACTCGAAACCCTTCAACTCCTCTAAACCCCTAAGCCCTAAACCCTCACTAACCCCGCAAGCCTTACACCCTAAACCCTAACCAAACCCTTAAGCCGTAAACCCTAAACCCTAAAGAGCCTTAAGCTTCTTAAGCCCCAAATCCGAATGACGCACGACACGACACAGATTAGAGGAGGACGGGGGCACCACCACCTCGCGGTGCAAGCGTCGTCCAGGCAACAAACGTGCACCTCGGTGGGTTTAGGTTGGGTACTGCCCCCATGCAGTAACAGTCTATAATAGGGCTACTATTATAAAGGTCCCAATATATCTATTTTATGAAGAATATCCAACTGTTACTGAGTAGGGGCAGTACCCAAGGTTTAGGGTTCAGGGTTCAGGGCCTATTTAGGAAACAGGAAGATGCTGTGGGCATTGTTTCATGTCGGCATGCGGTTAACCAAAGACTTGAGCATGTCAGGCTACTACGGTTGATGATATAAATCCTGCATTACCTTAAGGACCCTAGACTATGGGAATTATGGTATATTCCGTATTATGGGTGATGCAGGATTTATATCATCAACCGTAGGCCCGACTGGGGCCTTCTGGCTTGTGCTTTTCGGCCGGCCCCGTATACACTACATGTTGGGCGGTTGTGAAAATTCTGGTCCCTTTTTAAATACCCCAGATATTAGGTGCCGACCCCCCAAAACGGTCCCTAATTTTGACAACCACCTATATCTATATATATATATATATACATACATACATACATACATACATACATACATATATATATATACACACACACATACATTTACATAGAGTACACCCCAACCTCAAATAAATGCATACTACATACATGCATAAGTGCATACATGTATACTCGTTTACACATGCATATATCTCTACATATACATGTACATGCACATATACATATACATGTACATATATATATATATATATGTATAAATACACATACATGTACACATACATATGCAAGGTCCAGGTCTTGACTCTGGAGTTCGGGGGTAGGATTGAATTCCACACTGCATTGGCAGCTGGAATGTTTGCGCTGGAAGGGTCATCTTGGAGCACTTGCCACAGTATGCACTTTCAGTTGAAAGCTGATGCCTTGAAGATTGCTTTTGGTTTGGAGTCAAAAGAAGCGCCGAATGAAGAGCCTCAGCCATTGAGCGCGTGTGTGTGAAGTCGGACCGCGCCCAGGCAGCCCAAGAGATGACAACGACTCTTGTTTTCGAGTGCGGAACTGCATGCATACCCAAGGGGTCCAAGTAGGATGGCATAATATTGCCTAGTCGTGTCTAGTCGAGTCCAGAGTGCAGTGCAGCGGAGTAGAGTGGAGTAGAGTCTAGTCTAGTAAAGTGGAGTATGGTAGAGTATAGTATATACTTTGGGGCCGAATTTCTGCGAAGAACCTACTATACTGGTACTTGCATCCCTTGGGATGAATCCGCCAGTGCCCACCAGTGGCCGTGATGCAGATGCTGGTGTGTCAACAGCACGCTAGCCTTTCCCGAATCTTTCTCCTTATCTATGTGTCTTTGTGCAAGGATGATGCAAAATCAAACCGTGGTATGACGGATACGGCCGCGGCAGGGATGTGGACGAAGCTGCTTGACAAAGTTGGGCTGCTGATTCCACACCTTTCGCTCAAGCTGCTAGCTTTGCAGTAGCGGAATGTTTGCTGGGGTTAGTCAACGCGACTAGCGGGCAGGTTCTACCCGAGCAAAGGCAAAGTGGCAAAGCCATCCTGTCCGCAGCAATTACAACTACAAGCTCCAGGGACCGGGAAAAGATGTGCCGGAATCTCCGAATGAATCGTGTCATTTCTTCGTAAAGGCTTTAGGGTTTAATTTAAGTTTTAGAGTTCACAATATATTGTATTGTGCATTAGCCTGAACCATATATCCTAAGTCCTGCGACGCTCTTTCGGAGTGTAAGATCACACAGAGCCCTAAACCTAAGCCATGAACCCTAAAACCCTTGTAAACCTACAGAAAAGTTCTGAAATGTGTGTGTAAATCGGCTTTTCTAGCCTGGAATAACCTGCTCAAGCCCTACGAAAAGCCACCATCTTGCAGCTTCAGAAAACCTCGGAGAAAACTTCGGCTGGCACTACGGCTGATGGACAAAATCCTGCATTACCCATAATAAGGAATATACCAGGGGTTTAGGGTTTAGGGATATAAATCCTGCATCACCCATAATAAGGAATATACCATAGTTCCCATAGTTTAGGGTCCTTAGGGTCATGCAGGATTTTGTCCATCAGCAGTACAAAGCCCTACAAAACATTGGAACTTCTTTAACAGCCTCCAGCGAAGCCTACCTATAGTCTTCGTTGGGCCCCCTGCGTGTGTTCAATGATTTTCATGGCTACTACACGATAGTCCATGAACACAAAAGGAAGTACAAGGGCGACTGTAGCCAAGAGGGCCCATCTGCACTACCATTATGGATTCGGGTCCGCAAAAACCAGAATAGGGATGTGCTTTCGGTACCTAATTTCATAATGGGACGTCTATATGAACCCTCTGGGTAGGTAGGACATAGTATAGGGGCCTTAATTATTAGACTAGGGTTTTGGGGCCCTTTATACTGTAATTATAATAAGGAACCCCTAAAATAGTATAAGTAGTCATTTTGGCCCCTATGCTAGAGTATCCCTATGATAGCCCTGAGAGTAGCCCTTATAGACCCCCCTTTTTCGACGGAGCCCTTCAAAGGAACCCTATCAAGTAGACAGTTGAAGTTTCGAGCCACATGGGAGTTTCCGAAAACAGGAGACCCTAATATAGTACCAATAGTAGGATCATCCTTGTTATAAGCAACCCTAAATAGGGTACCCTAATTTTCGGAAACTCTAAACCCTAAACCCTTTATAGAACCCTCAAAGATCCCTTCAGGGACCCTTAGAGGATCCCTTTACAGGTACCCCAAATTTTCGGAAACTCCCCATATATACCCCTACAAATTATAGTGCCCTTATAGATCCCTTCTAGTAACCCTTGTAGACCCCTTTAAAGGGGTCCCCCAAAATTTTCGGAAACGCTCACATGGAGGCGACGGATCCTTTGCGTCTCCTGGGCCTAGGGGTGCAATCCCTCGCCTCCCTGCCCAGCGTGCTCTTCGGACTGACTACAGTAAACCCTAAACCCTAAACCCTAAACCCCATAAAGTTGGAAACCGGATTAAGGCCAAATAGTGCTGGGATTCCTTCCCTATACTATTATAAGGGTTGAGACAATTGGGTTTCCAACTTTTGGGCTTTGACTGTAAGGGTTTCCTGTTTTGAGGGTTCAGGGGTTAGGTACTTGAGTTTAGGGTATTAGGGTTTGGGTTTCAGAGTTTAAGGTATCATGGTTTAGGGTTGAGAGTTTAGGGTTCATGAGGGTTTGGGCTTTGGGATTTAGGGTTTCGGGCTGACAATGGGTGGGTGGCGGTTTCTGTTTCTTCCTGTCTAGGGTCTTGAGGTGCAGGGTTTCCGTGCTTGGGGTGTTCCTCGAGCCAGTGTGGGGGGGGCCCGCAGTGACTGCTGGAGTCAAAGGTTTATAAACGTGGCGCTTGTTTTAAATTCCAGACATCGTCGTTTCGGGCCTTTCGGTAAGCTGCTAACGCCTTTAAACGTGAGATCTTCTCCGCCAGGATTAGCACTAGACTTGATAGTAGGCCCTAAAGTCTCTACCCGATTAGCCTTCCAGACTGAACCCGTGCCGTAAAACTCGAATCGCTCTACCGTTAGTGGCCTTACTCTGGACCCAGCTGAAACCGCATAAATGAAAACCGCCTTGAATCCCACAAAGCCCCACAGAACCTTGACGTCTCACAGAAGCCCCTTGTTACAGATATGCAAACATATGTGTATATATATATATATATATGGATAGGTACAAAGAGACACACCCTATTCTGACTTCAGGCCCTATAGTAGAGCTCGCGATTTCCGTGCCGGAGCGTGCATTTAAGGCTTTTTACATCATGCCACGGAGTTTGCAGTTGAGGGCTGAGGGCAGTAAGGGGTTCAGGGCTTTGGGAGTAGAGTCTAACATGGGCAAGGTTGTGTCGCCCTGAATGAAGGAGATACATCACCTACAGACTCTAACTTAGTAACTTATAGTACCTTCTGGTTGCGTAGTTACTAAATGTCAAAACCATGGTTAAGATCCTAGATGTAACATTACAAGAACTAAGATAGCACAAAAAGCTACTATCATCTAGGGTTTAGGATTTCGAGTGTACCTTGGGAACCGAGTATACAAACAACAACTACTGTAAGGTCGAAAGTCAAGTCTGAAACTCGGACACATTTTGGGCTACTTGGAGCTCAACAGTAGGAGTCTATAAAAAAAATAAATTACCTATTCTATTGAGGGGTTCCTTATTATCATCATAGTATAATGGGCCCCCAAAACCCTATTCCACTCATTTCAGGGCCCAATATTATATCAAGCCTTACTAGCCCTATGAGCCCAAAAGTTATGGCTCCTAGAAAATCAGGTTGTTCATGGCACTCGTGGCCCCAGACTCCACGCAGTCACGCCGCGCGACGCAGGAGTTCCCAAACGATTCGAGCTTAAAGTGCAGGGACCCTTGCCCAGTAAGTCATTTAGGGTTTAAGGTTTAGGGTTTAGCGGACTTGGGGCTGAGGGTTTCGGGCTTTTAGGGTTTAGGCTTTGTTTCTGACCATGTCGTATGTCACGCCACTAGTACCCTGGGCCCTAGTCTCATCACGCAGTCCCCTGCATGAGCAAGCAACCTGTGGCTTTCGAGACTAGGGGGAGTTAAGTGTGAGTGAGAGATTTTGCGGCGTAAACCTGCCGGTGCGGGCCCGCAAAGACTCCATAGAAAGGAAGCCTCGGCCTCCTCCCTTAAGGGAGCCCCAAACCCTCAAACTCTTAAGGGATCCTTTAAGGGTTCCTTGAAGGGTTCCCCTCAAGGGTTCCTATGACTGCGACTTTCAAGTTTCTTTGAGGCTTCTGTAGGGTGTGCACAGGCTTTAGGGTTGAAGGCCCCCCAAAAAATCCAAAAGACTCCCAAAGCACTAAGCCTTACTAGGTATCTGTCTATTACCGACCTATCTAATTATATTTGTTTCTATCTTTCTATATTTATATATATATATATATATTTATATATATATATATATATACATATATATATATATATATATATATATATGTACAGAGCATACATAAATGCATACATATACATACATATTTACACGCATGTATATATCAATATATACATATATATATATATATATATGTATATATATATATATATATATATATATAAACGCGTCCCGAACCTTTGATCTGTGAAGCACTAAGAATCGGGGGAGCGAGACACTGAGGGCTTCAAGTTTATGGAGGTTTCCAAAAGGGTTTCATGTCGGGGGTTGAGGTGTTTATTGTTTAGGGCTCAGGGTTTAGGCATTTGATTTCAGAGTTTATGGTTTAGGTTTCAGGGTTCATGGTTGCATGTGCATTACATCGGTTTTTTAGTTAGGGGATGTTCATAAGGGCTTCGTAGAGGCTTTCGAGCTTGTGCAGAGGTTTATGAGCTTTAACCCGTTCAGGGGTACTACAAAGAATCCCTACATAATCCCAAAGGTTTCTGTCGTAGTACCTTTAGTTCCCCGTTGATACTGATGAAGCAAGCAAGATTGTATAGGGGTTTGAGCCCAGAGACTCCAACATCATATCCCTTATTTCAGAAATGTACCTTAAATCATATTCGGGGTCCTACTATGATCTAAGGTATATTCCTTAATTAGGGGATATTAGAACCCCCCTAAACCCTAAGCCCTATAGATCCCTTGTAGATCCCTTAGAGGAACCCTAGGTATTCCTTAGTTAAGGGATATTGGAGTCTCTGGGAGAGCACCCAGAACCTCAGTCAAACCCCAGGCCTTGGAGTTGCCCTAAGGGTCCATGTACTCATACAGTTAAGGGTCCTTTAAGGGTACCATAAGGGATCCTTTAAGGGATCTATAAGGGTTGGATAAGGGTTTAGGGTATAAGGGTCTATGTACTCATATAGCATATACATTGGCCTTAATGTAGTCCCTATACAGGTACTTTGGGGCCCATGTACCTCTATATGGATACATGGGCCCTTAGGGCTTAGGATTTCGTGTCAAGGCTGAGGGGAGCGTGGTGTAGGGTTCAAGGCTTGAGGTTTACCTGATTCCCTGCTTTTGGTTATCCTTGTCTTCATAAATCCTTCTTATAAGCCCGTAAAAAGGAAGGTTTATGTAAATCTTGGTTTTCGGT